CCTGTCAAACACATTGAGTCCTGTCTGAGTCATGATAGTTGTGATGATGATGATGATAATGAAGGACTTCATATATAGTAACATAATGACTGCAGCACCATGTGTTACACCACTGTGAAACTATACACTCAGTTATCATGCAGAGTCATCCATCCTGCTCTGATAGGGCTGCATTTGTGCGGTAAAAAAAAGAAAAGAAAAACATGATTAAAATTTGATTGTCATTGGTCAGATCATCACACTGCAGGTCATATCTAAGTGGAAAGCCAGTTCCATACAACAAATCACAGCCAAACCGATGCTGCACTCGTGATGGAGCTTTGACGCATTGATGGGAAATGGCAGGGATGCACTTTCAGATGTGGCATGACTACTGTGCTGGATGTACTCTGCGCAGCTGCTGAATGATTGTGCAGGTCAGGGCGACTTGTTTCTCAGCTTATTATTCAGATTTTGTACCAAACAGCTGCTTACTCAGCAGCAGAGAAATGAAGAGTTTGTCTTCATGGCGCGTTGATATTTACAGATGGAAATAACAGTGGAATAGTGATGAATGGTGCTGCCGTGTAGTGGGAAAAAAAAGGGAGGAGGAAGAATGTTCCCTGAAGACAACCTGAGAATAAAGTACATGTTGACCTATTAGAGCTAATTATAAGCCAGACACAAAGAGGCGGAGGAAGAAGAGGCGAAGGCTTTTTCTGGAGGACTGACTTGCAGAATCGCATTAGCGAGACACAATGTCTTGAAAATGAAGGCGCCGTGGTGTGACAGAGTCATCAAAAACTGTCAGGTTAACACAACCGCACATTAACCAAAAAGAAAACCAACAAAAGCTCCCCTATACAACTTGGCAATTTATGCCTTGTACTACTCTTCATTACAGTCAGTGTAGCAGGTTCTTGACTCAATCCTAAACTTAAAACTAGATGGAAAAACCCTGAGACTACTAGTACTAATGCACCTGCAGAGATATACCGTGCAGACTTCAAAGGAAGTCCAACCATCAGATACTTGATGGATTTATTCGAACCTTCTTGTGGTTGTCCACAATATTTCATTCTGAGAGCAGGCTGAAGTACACAATGCAAGCCTTTGACCTCGCTACTGGCCTCTGCACTACCGGATTCCTACCATGCTTTGAAAAGGAGGGAGTCTAGAGAGGAAAACGCTAGAATAAGGTTGAGGCAGACCATTTCTAAACAGACGCTCCTATACTTAAACTTACAGTTTCACAGTGTCTTCTTTATTAGTAGCAAAACTGATCACAATAAGAGACTTCTCTTTAAGTATTAGGTACGTCACAGCACCACAAGCCACCTGATAGCATGCGTGTCTAACTTTCAGTTTTGAGTCAACTCATCTAAAGGTTTATTGTGCTTGTGTGTTTTGGGCATGTTTGGCTTTCCTTTCACATCTTAATTTACTCAAATCTGGGCTTCTTTGTCTACATTCAGTTGTAATTGCCATGGCCATTTAGCTCTATTCACTTATATTCAATGAGGACCATTTTTTGACAGAGTGACTGGTGAACTGCACCCATTTCTGATACAATGGGAAATGAACACTGTTTGCTGTTTTGGACAGCGCATTACTTGGAAAGAAAAACCCCTATGAGCTGTCTCAGGTTTTGTTAGGTGGAGACAGACACAAAGCTACAAAAGACAACAAGCAGATAGGTGTCATCCCAGTTTACCACAACAGAAACAAAAGGTCAGGAATTCTTTTCTCTTGGTCAGACGGGGAGGGGAGAGGCATTAACTGGGAGTGCTGCGGTATCAACGTCGTCATTGTTGACACAACCAGGATGGACAATGTGCTGTTTGCACCAGTATTTTTCATAACCAAATATTATCACAGCTGGTAGGAGAGGCGGGATTAAAGCCAGATAAAAGAAGGGCATATGACAATATCCAGGAAAAAAAAGTTACAGCCTGACAGCCTAGCACTAGTTTCAATTGCTTGGCAGTTCACTTAAATAATTCTTGATGATTAAAAAGAACTGAAAAATCTAAACTGATTATTTTGGTCACTACACTTAGCAATGAGCCAATGTATCACTTAAGAGCTCAAGTATTTGTTTCCAAAAACATCCAAACCACTGATTTGAGTGCACATCTGTACTGAGTAACTAATTTGAAGGGTTATTCATGAAATCGAGTAATCCCGGTTCGTATACAAATAACAGCTTTATGAGAAATCAATACGATTCATTGTAAAACAGGCTGTAAACAGAGGATTTTAATTAATTACGAGTAGTTGATGCTTTCCATGGAATGACTGATCAATTAATGGACTAATTGTCTAAGCTCTAGATTAACATACAAAGAAAAAAAAAAAAAAAAAAAGAAGAAAAAAAAAAGTTGGTCTGTCAGTCCCAGACCAATTCGACAGTCGACAATCACGCACATTTCTCAGAGTTAGAACTCACTCACTTGCAATTGCTTTTCAGTCTACAAATATGCTGGAGACACCGGGTTAAACACAAAACGACCCCCTCCTTCTGTGAGGGCTGTCAAAAAGGCCTTCTGCAAAATATCAACTTCAAACTGGAACAGAAGTGGATGCCATGCAGGTGAAATTGAGCTCAAGAAAGCGGAAAATAAGAAAATGGAAAATGAGAGAGGACACATTAGTGTCAAGTGGATTTCTCCTTCAAAGACCTCAAACTGCAGTGTGAGCAGCGGAGAGCATGCCAGAGAGCGAAGCACTGGCACTGCCAACAGGCATAATGGCATTAAGGTTTGCTAATAAAGGGAGAGGGCTGGTCCACCCCCAGGCTGAAACACTGCAGTGTGCACACAAACAGGCTACCAGCACCCATCCAAGAGCCATTTCCCAAGGATTTGGAAATAGACAAAGACTGGCATCTAACTCCCACGCTCCACACTGCGGCCAGCGTGTACAGGGCGGGTCTGTCAGGAAAAGCCGCTTCCTCGGGCTAAGTGTTTAGAAGCGTTTGTATGTGCCAGTCATCAAGGGCCGAGAAAAAGCAAGCCATAACAAGATCAAAAAACTTATAACATCTCGTTTTCAAGTCTTATCTCGTTTATCTCATCTTGGGTGAATTCGCTCTATTCATGCTTGTGTCTTTGATGTAAACATAGGACTCAAAGGCCAGGGATTGTCTGGACTGACCTCAGCTTTGGATAATCAACAAAGCCAAGGGTTTGCTTAAAAAGAAGTCCAAACTCCCCATTCCAAGTCCACTGATTGCAGCGTATGCTTACAGGAAACAACAAAGATCAGCTGCCTAATTTCACCTCAAACACTGATCCTTAATACAAAGAAGGACCCAGGCTAACAGGTTGCTGGCACCATTAGTCGATTTATCATGTTTAAGAGCTCCCAATCCCTCCTTTTCCACAATTGGACATTCAATGTGGCTAGGGGAATGTGTCATTTCTCTCACAACAAAGCCACAGCGCAAATCATAAAAAGCAAGATTTTAATACATTCTTATTCTCATGAAAATTACCGATTAAAATAACAGAAAAATTCATCGTTAGGGAGGGGATTGTGATTTATTTATTTGAGACAAGGAAATGAGTAATTCTGTCATGACAGAGCCACAATAGACAATAATGACGACAATGATGATTTTTTTTTTTTTGTAACGCGTAGGCCACTGAACATGTCTGAAATCAGACAGGCATCAGCACAGGATTGAGTAGATGGCGTGTAAAAATAGGCATTTTCGCAGTGGACAGTCACAAAGCGCTGTTCCTGGCAAAGACCCTGTTTAAAAAAATCCATAAACAGAGATTATGTAGAGCTCCGTGATAATACATAACCAGTGTTACTGCTCGCATGTTAAACTCTCCTATATGGCTTAAAAAGAAAGAGCAATGAAAGGCAACAATGCCAGTCAAAGCTCCTGTTGGCTTCCCAGTTTCCCCTCGATAAATGCTGCAGTGCACCGCCGCCATCTTACTTCTCTATTCTCGCCCATCTAATACGTGGAGGGCGTTTGTGGCGTTTTGTTTTCCCGCAGAAACTCGCATATTCGCTATTTTATTTTTACATTTTTATTGTATTTAAAGCCCCGTCATGCCAAGCTTTTATTATTATTAACGTGAGAGAATTACGTTTTTACTTAAACTTACAAAAACAAACAAAAAACACGCCCACTGCCAATAAATTAGCCCCGGGGATATAGAAAATGAGACAATACGCTTTTACGTTTATTCACCGTGATTAGTATAACGAGATTGAATTAGCGCAGATGACCACTGGACAGGAACAGATTTCGTAACCATCTGCGCAGTGTCACTGGCTGGAAATGGTTCGCTGGCAAACCCGACCGGTTTGTAACGTTTTAAATCACAGCAAAACGAGCAGTTTCTCAGTTTTAACGCAAAGTGAGGGGGGGGAAAGGGAAAGACATAGGCTACAGGTTTAAGTCAAAGGTTTCGGCGCTTGTCTCCTTTGTCACAAAGACTCAGTAAATGAAATTAAATTACACTTAAAGCGAGGGTATTTAAATTAAATTAAACTACGTGAATACATCATTTGTTTCAAATTGTACTTGTTAACAACAGACAGTGAAGCATAGTAACGAAATAGCCCAGTGGATACGCGAAATTGTACTAAATATTAACGTCGCCTCTGATTTAGGAATCCAAAAGAATTCATGTTTAGCATTCAAGTTAGCTTGATTGTTTTACATTACACTTCCGGTTACAGCCTTCAACACAAAACAAACTGCGCATTTATATTCAAACACACCGTGTTAGGAGCAGTTTTATAGGACAGAAATAACAACTTGTTGATGGATCGGTAGACACAATACATTTACCTACAAAGATTCAATTCCTTCTTTTTAAAAAAAAAATTAAACAAATCTAGTCTAAGCTTTACATTTGAAGGAACAACAGTTCAACTTCCGGTCTCCTTTTAGCCACCTCTAACTCGCTTGACTCAGCCGACATCAACAATATGGTGGAGGGGGTTAAATGCTACAAATTCTCACACATAAGGAAAAAATGAAGCTTTTCTCTTACCTCGACAGCCAGAGCCGAAGCCGCTAAAACCAGCAGCAGTAAAGCTACTCGGTCCCCCATGCCTTTTCGCTAAAACAACGCTCCTACAGGCTAGCGTTATACCGCACCGTTTTCTAAAGCTTTGCGTCAGGCGAGAAAACGAGTCTGCTCAGCGCCGGTGTCTCCCGTTGTCTGATGGTGAGCGATACCGAGGCTGTACAGCTGCTCAGCGCCGGATCACCTGACCACGGCAGAGTGGGATTAACACACACACACATACACACTCACGCGCTATTTTCCCGGCGCGCACGTTGAGTTTACTCACACGCGCACATAGCCTACTTGCGCGCGCATGTTCCCTTTTTTTATTTTAGAGCAAAAAACAAACCAAAAAAATTCCCTAAGCATTACGTTTCTTTTAACTGAGAAAAATAAATCTCCCAGTATTAGTCATGATTAGTATTATTCTGTTTATTTTAATGTTAGCCTTGTTTCTAGCTTACTTCACTATATTGAGTAACTAATGCTGCTATTATGAGTCACTGGATTATATTGTGAATATTTGTATTCCTGTTATGAGTTTTTGTTATTAGGAAAACATATTAAACAGAAAAACCCCAATAAAACAAGTTGTATTATTAATCATAGTGTAAAGGAATACTGGAGTTAACACTTTAAACACATTTTATTTACAACAGTTATTGGAAACAGTAACAAAGCACTTTATTTACCTCACTATATTTATTACATGGTTTAAATCCTTTCCATCATTCACAGTCAGCCTGGGAAAGCGACCTCATTGTGCTATGGCTGAAGTCACTCTAGATTAAACTCTTTAAAATCAGCCTTCAGCTGTAATTCCACCATGAATCTGTTACTGTGCCAGTTCAACAGTTTCATAAAACATAACAGAAAGACATGTTTCTGTTTCAGTGTGACCACAGTTCATAACATGTTTTTTCAAGTAAGACAATATAAAAGCAAAAAAAACAAACCAAAACAGTTCATTAATCCTTACAAGCCATCCAGGCCATTAAGACGGGCATTATTATGAATTATATTCAAGTCTTTATGTGACAGGTCCAGACCTGCATTTAAAAACAGCCTTAATTATCAATGTACACTTCAGACGCTGACATAACTCAAGATTTAAAACAAACAAGAAAAACCCATGAGGGCTTGATAACTTTCTGTAAGTCTACACTGTGTCCAGGAAAGACTCTTTGCCTCAAGTGATTCGAGCTTTCTCCCCTCTGTGCTGACAAAATGATCATTTGAATGCTTTTAATGTGCACAGGTGTGGGGGACGGATAAGGGATATCGGTTATTAGTAGGCAAAAAAGTACCAGCTGCAGGCCAGCAGGGCTGCTAACTGTTAAGTCTATCATCAGATGAGTTGAGGCTCTTTGGCCAGCTTGACCCACATTTGTCAAATGATTACTTCCCCGCCATGTCCTCAACTACAGAGCAGCAGAAATACAGGAAAGCTGAACCGAGTGCTCTGGCCTGCCAGTTAGGTTTGTGTTTCAGTGTGGAAATTTTTGGTGGTCACACCCAAATTGCAACACCAGCTCGCTGCTTCGGAGTTCGGATTTGCACAGCCGTCTCTGTGTCTGCGAATCTGGGCCGTGGCAGCATGTTTAGTGCAGCGGGATTCACTTTCGGGTGTATCCAGGGTAAGGAGGCGGCGGGGAGTAGTTAGCTGACCTAGGCTGTGTTGGGGTGTAGGGCGGGGGATGAAGGGATGGAGGGTACATCTCACAGTCGTAGGTGTATGGAGGCGGTGGACCTGTGTGTGAGAACAAAATTGACAGTAAGCAGGCTGGTCAAAAAACAACTCAGTTATCCTGTAATAATTGCAGGCTTCACATTTCTTCCATATTCAATATGAATGAGGCCCACTGAAGCTCAGGATGCCTGCCCCAATTTTACTGCAGGTTTCACACGACAGTTGCACCCTCTAGTGGTTACATAGAGAAACCACATACTTTGGTGCCCATGCTGAATGAAGGAAGAAATGGAAAAATACTGTAAAAAGGCACTTTAGTTGACCCCGTCTATCAATTTCACTGAGGGAACTTGCATTATTCACAAGAACAACAAAGCTGCAGATATAACAGAACAGGGGTAAAGAGGTTAGAGCTTGCAAACAGTCACATAGTGGTGAGTAAGTAAGGACTTTATTTTAAAATGACTAGTGCTGATAGGGAAAATAAATAAAAAATGAATATCAATCGAAAGTGACTCACTTATGGGATTGGAGTAAGCAAGTAATAGCAGCAAATACTCCTCACACCCAATGGAGAAACAAGCGTACGTTCATTATACAGTACATGCACTGACATTGCACTGTGCTGTATTCATGAAACATGATCAGAGCTGCAGGGCAGCGCGGCGAGCTCTCGGCCAGTGTAACATCAAGGTGATACGCAGAGAAGAATGAAACATGATAAATAAATAATGAGCCCCAGAAGGACAAAAACAAAACAAAAGTAGCATTCCTTAGGCTGGAGAGTATCATAGAACACAGACTATGATGCGCAGACAATGTACCTTGTGAGAACAAGGTGGAAACATTGTTGCCATTTTCTCCCTCTTAAGCAGGAACAGAGTGTATCAGATGTGGAGCTCTGAGAGCAGGGAGAAAAAACAAGCATAGAATCTAGCAGATAATGAAAGCTATTTAAAGAAAAGTACTTATTTGTCTATAATGATTAAATAGTGGCCATGGTAAATCTGTTTGTGGTCCCGGTGGAGCTTGTAACATAATATGCCCCTTCATTTTTCTTTTTCAATTTTATTTTTAGGTGTCGCCTGAGGCCAGTAGATAAGGTTTCACCATACCGAAATCAGTGTAGCAGCCTCATTTGTGCGCAAGTCATCATGTAGACCCAAATGAATTACTTAGACTGCTTCCTGATAAACTATAGTATAAATAAACTTCTAATACTAATAATATATTCATATATGACAGATTTGTTACAAACAATTGAGCAGCATTAACTAATAAATATCCTTAAAATGTTTGATTAACTTGGTTGTACCGCTTTTATTATTGTTCAGTATTGCCCTTTAACAGTTATAACACTAAAAGTGCACATGTGCTTCAGTATATAGTATTGTTCCGGTGCCCAATCTAGAACCGGCAGATGCAGCCCACAAGATGCGTCCTAATGTTGTTCTTATGGGTGGCTGTGGCTACAACGTAGCTTGCCATCACCAGTGTGTGAATGTGTGTGTGAATGGGTGGATGACTGGATATGTAAAGCACTTTGGGGTCCTTAGGGACTAGAAAAGCGCTATATAAATACAGGCCATTTACCATTTACCATTTATGGGAAATATCCCAATTCTGGGTGCAAATGCTGCGTGCTAATCGCGCTGAAAAGCAGACCAGCTCTGATATGGAGCAAAGTCAGAACGGGACCAGGGGTACCATTTTGGTGTAAAAAAGGCAATAGTTTGTCCAGAAGAAATGCTCCAACTCCAATATGCTTTCAGCACATGTAGCATAATAGGATCACAACTAACTAGCTTGAAACCCCAAACCCATCATTAACATTAATTAATGATTTTAGTTTAAAAAAAAATAGTTACAGCTATCAGTGTTCAACAATAGTAGAGCCTGATCGATATAGGATTTTTAAGACCGATACCAATATTTAATGATTTAATGCTGACGTGTGTAAAATCTCACCACTAGATGTCAGTAGACTGTAGTCAACTAAGCTCTGTTTTCTTACCGCTACCAATACAGGCAGATAATACTAGTTATGGTGGCCGCTATACAACAAACACATGAACTTTAGATCCCCATAATGGCCACAGACAGCCAGCATGTTTCTAATACTGTTTGTACAAACTATATAATAACATATTTAAATAATACCAACACTTAGCAATGACTTCAAAACAGATTCGATCAATTAAATATTTTGCAGTACTTTACGTTTTTACCCCAGAGTCACCTCGAAAAGTCTGAACACTGTTCATCTGTATTGGGTGTACTAAGACAACAAAACCGCAGTGGCACAACACCGGCTCGTGGTCAGCTGTCCAGAGAAGGGAGGGGTCACATGTCTAATCTGCTGACAGTAAGTAATTGTGACAATATCTGTAATACATAAGCATGTTTATGCACGTTTCTGTGTGTTAGAGCACTGATTTCAGTTCTGGAGATGCGGCTTTAGGCGAGAAGGAAGAAGATGACATTTTAATAACATGTCCCTTTCCTTTACGTTTTCACTTCTTTGGTGAAGAGGACTACTTCTCCGTTGATAAAACAATATTATGATCCTTCATATCAAGTCTGAAGGTGCAGACACAAATTGACATTTACCTAAGCAAATGCCTGTTTGTTTTCCTGGTATACACAAACATTGCCCTCTGGTGGAGAGCACGCCTGAGAGCAACACTTGTGACATAGTTGAAAGGTGTTTCTCCTCTCTTCTTTACTTTTTACTATTTGATGAAAATGATGATAGATGACAATATTGACCTATTGATAAATCTTTCTGTCTTAAAGAGTAAATATCTAATTCTCTTGCCCCTTGTATGCAGTTAAAATCCAATTAACTTCATGCATTTTAAAATATATATAACATAGACATGGTATAGGACACATCAAGTTGTGTGGTTGTGTATATTGTCCCACCTGGATAGCCCTGGGTCACAGTGCTGATGTTATAGGAGGTGCTGAACACGCCGACCCGTGCACCACGCCCGTTCTTCATGCACATGCACACGCACAGGAATAAGGCTGCCACGGCCCCCATCAAAAACACCACACCAAAAACAATACCAGAGATGGCAGTGCCCCTGGAAAAAACACACACACGTGAGAAAGGAGGCAGCTGTCTCCAACAGACATGCTACCCAATATTTCTAAGGTGCTGCCATGGAGATAAACTGCAGCATCTGATGTAACTCAGCTGTGTGTGATATGCGTGTGCCTGTGACCATGTGACTGCAGAAGATCTTGTGAACTGGCACTGGAAAATAGAAAAAGGACTCATCGCTGACAGGTTTGTTACATCTTCGTGGTCAGCATGAGTCAACATGTCAGCCAAGGCTGCTTTGCAAATTCTGAATATAATCAAGCCTTAAAAGGTTATCAGATAGAATTGGTACAAATATACACATAAGATGGAGGAAAATAAAAATGAAGGATACAGTTACTTTTTTACAATTACCATAAATTCAATTTCAATTCAGTTTTATTTATATAGCACCAAATAAGAACAACAGTTGCCTCAAGGCGCTTT